TTTTTTTTTTTTTCTCGTCGAGTCAAATCCCCTATTAATATAGAATCCCAACCTTTTCACGCTCCTAGCTGTAGCTGATGATGTGCTAGCTCCAGCGGCTGGTCTCCTACACATCCTACGAGCACCAGTGGCGCCAACCACAGCTTCCCTCCTTGGAACCTGAAAGCGACACCAGGGAATAAGAAACAAAGAAAAGCCCATAATTGTTCATCTGGGAAACCTTCAACATTGACGACTAAATGCACAAAATTGGTGAAATAGAAAAAGGGGTAAAGAAATGGACCTGACGGTCTTCTTAGTGTTCCTGAGGTGATCGCGAATCCAGCCGGCGTTTCCATAGATACAATCGGCTTCCTCACAGGGGAGTAGCAGGGCCACAAGCGCGTCCAAGATGGACGAGGTGAGTGAGGTTGCTAAAATGCCAGATCTGGGTTTGAGAGAAGAAGAAGAAGGGAGAAGAAAGAGAAAGAAAGAATAAGAAGAAGAAAAAAGAAGGATGAAGAGGGAGGAGGAAAGGAGGAAGAAGATGAAGTTTGAGGGAGAACCCAGATCTGGTTTGTAGAGGTAAAGGAAAAGGAGAGAGAAAGTGAAAGAGGAAGAAGAAATGACGGGATGAAAAAAAAATTATTATTTTAAAATTAAATAAAAATGCCAATTAATGCCAACTCATAGGTTAATTATGATTTTTTTTTCCATGTCATTAGTTAAGCAAAAAATGCATTGATTTGCTGAGAAGTTAACGTGACACTTGTCATTTAATTGATAGAAGGACTGTTTTGGTATCGAAAATGAAAGTTTAAAGATAATTTTGATACTTTTTAAAGTTGAGAGAGAATTTTGGTGCTAAAGTGAAAAGTTAAGGGACCAAAATGGTACTTTAACTATTAAATAACAAAAATAAGCACAACTGACTTTTTAAATCCTTAAAACACATGGTGCCTCTAAGTTGCTTCAAACCATATGAAAATCTCAAAAATTTCCAAAATATTAATTAATTAAAAATTTTTTTTTTTGCCTTAATTAGATATATTGTTGCTCTCGAACAGCTCATAAGGATAAATTAGTTTGTTCTTTATTGAAATTAATCTCTTTCAAAATGAATACATTAGCTATTATTATTGGTCTTCAAAGTTAACTCTTTCGATTGTTTGTTTGGGATGTGAAACATGCAATTGAGTAATAAATAAGAATCAAAATTTATAACAGTTGAACAAATCAATTACGTGAACTCTGAAGTCTTATTAATCATAATATTATTTTTAATCCTCTATAATTATCATCTTTTATTTAAATATTTTTATTCTTAATTTTAGAAATCATCTTTTAATTTAATTTCTCATTGTGACAACTCTTTTTGTTGGTTTAATATAACTTCCCTGTGGATTCAAAACTTAAAACTACACTATAACAACCATTTAACCGAAGGGCATTAATTTTGGGACGAGACATCAATATTTGATGATATCTTTTTTCCATGATTTTTCTCTATGCCCTTCCATCTTGATGATGACCCCAAAGAGAACAATGAGACCCACAGCATGACAAGGGATTTCTAAATTCCAGGAAAGTTAAATAAGGTCTATAATAGGACCTTGACCCGTTGTTTATGTCGCAACAAGAACCAAAGGTAAATGATGAGAACCCCAAAGAGAACAATGAGACCCACAGCACGACAAGGGATTTCTAGACTCCAAGAAAGCTAAATCAGGTTTATGATAGGACCTTGACCCATTGTTTATGTCGCAACAAGAACCAAATGTAAAAACCTTGACCCGTTGTCTATGACGCAACAAGAACCAGAGGTATAAAGTTGGTTGACACCACACCCTCGAGCGATTAAGAACGAGAATGATAAGTCAGGTTAGAACGCCACAAGAATAATCTTGATAAGTTCTATAAAGTTCTAAAACAAACCAAAGAGAAAAGTCTCTCAAAATCTCAGATTCAATGGCCTCCCTCCCCATTAGGGTTACAAGCCTTTTAAATAGAGAAAACAAATCCTAATTAGAATAGGAAATTAACAGCCTAAGTCCTAAACCTAATAACTACGAATTGGGCTTCAAATAAGCGAATGTTCAGCCCAAAAATAATACAAAAAACGTGAAAATCACTAAAAATAACCTAAAATAATACAAAATATCAGTTTGCTACAAATTGCGGCAGAATTGTGTAATTTTGACGCAAACTGTGTAATTCCGTGCAAATGACCTCAACTAAGCTTCTCTTGAACCTGAATGATGTTTACCATGCCTTGATAATCATCCAAGCTTCGATTTGCTTGTTGTATGTTGTTTTCAACCCAGATCTGCTCAATAAGGCCATTTAAAACTTTACGCATCTTCTTAGCTCTAACTCGCGTGACTGGACCTCCTTGGGTGTGTAATGGATCACATGACATAGCAGATATGCTGTCATCTTGATTCCCATCATTCCCTCTCTCCTCAAAAGGATTTGTCCTCAAATCATCACCTACATCAAAAGGAGAAAGATTAGAAACATTAAAAGTAACACTAACATTATACTCACCAGGAAGCTCCAACTTGTATGCGTTGCCATTAATCCTCGCAATCACTTGAAATGGTCCATCGCCTCTTGGTTGCAGCTTAGAATGCCTTTGTGCAGGAATCGCTCCTTTCGCATATGCACCCAAACCCAATCTCCAGGTTCAAACACAACTTTTTTGCACCCTTTGTTGGCTTGATTTGCATATTGCTTAGTTCGTCGCTCTATGTTTTGTTGCACCCTCTCATGTAGTTGCTTAACCACTTCAGCTTTCTTTTTCCCTTGCAATCTAGCTCGTTCATCAATGGGTAATGGCAATAAATCCAAAGGGGTGAGTGGATTAAAACCATACACAACTTCAAATGGTGAACAGTTAGTTGCTGAATGGACGCTCCGATTATAAGCAAATTCAACATGCGGCAAACATTCTTCCCAATTCTTCAAGTTTTTTTTGAATAATAGAGCGCAATAAGGCTGACAACGTCCTATTAACCACTTCTGTTTGTCCATCAGTTTGTGGATGACAAGTAGTTGAAAACAATAGCTTAGTTCCCAACTTTCCCCACAAGGTCTTCCAAAAGTAACTCAAGAACTTAACATCACAATCAGAAACAATAGTCCTTGGAACACCATGTAAACGAACAACCTCCTTGAAGAACAGATCAGCAATATTAGTTGCATCATCGGTTTTATGACATGGAATGAAGTGTGCCATCTTCAAGAACCTGTCAACAACAACAAAAATAGAATCGTGGCCTCTTTTCGACCTTGGTAAGCCCAGAACAAAATCCATAGATATATCAACCCAAGGTTCAGTAGGTATGGGTAAGGGAGTATACAAACCATGTGGTAAAACTCTAGATTTTGCTTGTTTACATGTTATGCACCTTTCACACATCCTTTCAAAATCGCGTTTCATATGTGGCCAAAAGAAGTGATCATTCAGAATATCTAAAGTTTTCCTAACTCCAAAATGTCCCATTAAGCCTCCCGCATGAGATTCCCTTACTCACAATTCTCTTAAGGAACAGTTAGGCACACATAATCGATTTTCTCTAAACAAGTACCCTTCATGCCTATAAAACTTATCAAAAGCAATCGTCTCACATGCATTAAACACGTTAGCAAAATCTGGATCATTAGCATATAATTCTTTAAAGTGCTCAAAGCCTAATAACTTTGCACTTAGGGTAGAGATAAGTGTGTACCTACGAGATAATGCATCAGCCACAATGTTTTCCTTTCCTTGCTTATACTTGATCACATAGGGAAACGTCTCAAGGAATTCCACCCACTTAGCATGTCGTCTATTCAACTTACCTTGTCCCAATGCATACATCTCCTTGTTATAAGTAGGATAGTTAAGTGCTGCACTAGTCAATTTTTCATTGAAAAACGCAATAGGTCACCTCTCTTGCATCAAAACAGCACTAATGCCAATACCTGATGCATCACATTCAATTTCAAAAGTTTTAGTAAATCAGGTAAAGCAAGTAACGGTGCAGAAATTAAATTTTCCTTAATTAAATTGAAAGCATTCTCCTGTTCACTTTCCCACTTAGATCCAGCACTTTTTTTCACAATATCAGTTAACGGTGTTGCAATTGTGCTGAAATCCTTGATGAATCTCCAGTAGAAACTCGCCAAACCATGAAAACTCCGCACCTTAGAAACATTTTTAGGTGTCGGCCATTCTTTAATAGCCTTAACCTTTTCTTCATCTACTGTGATTCCATCAGCTGAAACAACACCCCCTAAAAGAACAATCGATTTGTGCAAAAGGAACACTTTCTAAGGTTAGCAAACAACTTTTCTTTTCTCAACACCTCTAGTGCCATTCGCACATGCTCAATATGTTCAATTAAACTCTTCCTATATATCAGAATGTCATAAAAATAAACAACCACAAATTTGCCAATGAAAGCACGAAAAACATGATTCATTAATCGCGTGAATGTATTAGGCGCATTAGTTAATCCAAATGGCATAACTAACCACTCATATAAACCATGTTTCGTTTTAAAGGCCATTTTCCATTCATCTCCTTCCTTCATCCTAATTTGATGATATCCACTCTTTAAATCAATTTTAGAGAATATGCAAGAACCATGCAACTCATCTAACATGTCATCTAATCTAGGAATAGGGTGACGATACTTTACAATGATTTTGTTGACTGTGCGACAATCAATGCACATACGCCAAGTCCCCTCCTTCTTAGGCACAAGTAGCACTAAAACTGCACATGGACCCATGCTTTCTCTCACATGTCCCTTTTTCATGAGTTCTTTGACCTGCCTTTGAAGTTCTTTCGTCTCATTGGGATTGCTTCGATATGCTGGTCAGTTTGGAATTGTTGCACCAGGAATGAAGTCAATTTGATGCTCGATTCCTCTTATTGGTGGTTTAGGAACGTCATTTGGAAACACATCCTTGAAGTCCTGCAAAAGAGATTTAACAGCACTAGGCAAAGAATCATTAAGTTCATTAGTGTTGAAATAAGCATCTTTATACAGAAGCATAAACATAGGCTGGTTTGCAAAGAACGTAGCCTTGACATCACTTTCTTTTGCATAAACACTTACTGATTTTCTCTCTTTTTTTTTTCAACACTCTCAATCTTTTCTCTCTTTTTGGACTCTTTTTCTGCTGTTTTCTCTTTGTTTTTCATACCCTCAAGCTCACTCTCATTTCTCAGCTCACTCTCCTTTTTTACTCTCAGTTGATCCTCATAAACCTGCCTTGGACTCAATGGTGCAGGAGTAATTGTTTTCCCCTCCATGACAAATGAATAGCGATTTTTGAAGCCATCATGTGTTACCCTCCTATCATATTGCCATGGTCTCCCTAAAAGTAAATGTCCAGCATGCATAGGAACCACATCACAAAGTACCTCATCCTTATATCATCCAATAGACAATGAAACCAGAACTTGCTTATTTACCTTGATTTCTCCACAATCGTTTAACAATTGCAGCTTATATGGCCTTGGATGCTTCGTCATAGGTAAATTAAGCTTTTCAACTAAAACAGTGCTAGCTACATTAGTACAACTACCACCATCAATAATCACACTACATACCTTGTTTTTGACATGGCACCTC